AAAAGAAAGAAAAAAAGAAAGAAAAAGAAAAAAAATGATAGCCCAGAACGCCTCAAATGTTATTTTCGGGCGTCTAGAACACAAAAATTCCGGACCCCCTAGGACATTGTTGTCTCGATCGGCCCAAATTTCGGCCCCCCCCTTTTGGACATCTCTGGATCCGCCCCTGTAGGAGGTCTGTGTAATTTACTTTTAAGACCTGATGATAGGCCTATTCTGAAGTGTGTATTGCGCTGTAACTATGATTTTCTGATCGGTCCAAAAGATTTGGTTTGGATCCTTTCTAATATAAGTTGCGGTGTTGGTCTACTATCTCGGTCTTCCAGCCAACAACTCAGTATGAGTCGTCTTAATAACTGAGGGCAATCTTCGGGAATTAGAGGGCGCTCACCCTTCTCTGCCACTAAGTACATGATTTGGTACTGGTTGTCCGCTTGCCCGTATGGAATTTCACCCGTTAATAACTCCCAGATTACAATGCCGAGGGAGTACACATCGGACTTCTTGGACGCAAGTTTATCGCGAATCATTTCGGGGGCCATCCATGGTGAACTTCCCTTTTCGTGTGACGTCACTGAAGTGCCTTCATTACTAACTTTTGCTGTTCCAAAATCACACAATTTTAGATCACGAGCAGACGTTATTAGATAATTGGGACTCTTAATGTCACGATGCGCGATATTGATAGAACCCAAATACCGCACAGCCTCCGTCGCGTGTTCACTCCATTGATAAAACGTATCATCTGGCAATTTGCTACCCTTTAACTTTCTCAAATAGTTGAACAAATTTCCTCCGTTTGCATATTCCATAATGATGTAAAAATCTGGTGATTGAGAAATTACTCCTAAAATATTGATAATACATGGATTTTTTATTGTTTTAAGTATGTCCAGTTCCTTTTGGCTCAGAGATAGAACTTTCTTGGCGGCAACTGTGATGTTGCGCTCCGTCCACGTTGCTTTGTATACGCTGCTAAATGATCCCGAACCGCATAACTCCATCCATTCAAATTTTCCAATTGATGCAATGTCCTCAAATTCATCATTATTATTATTAGTGTTCAATTGATAGTAATCCGAACTGCCGCTCCACGGTCTCGGCCAATGAAAATTCCACTATAAAAATTAATAAAAATATTAATTATCCCATTAGCATAAAAATCATAAGGCCTAATATTATTATGTCTATCTGTGTCAGCCGGTCTATAGGCTTGACCATGAAATTTCAGTCGGCCTGGTATACTTTTACCCTATTATATAGGTCCTAGGCTCATTTCATATCATAATATTATGTCCATAGGTATCAGGCACATATCCGAGGGAGGGGAGAAGGAGTGATGTCCGACAGGTAGGCCTACGCAAGTTATGATTGGAGGCCCTAATAAACGAGCGAAGCAAGCGTTAAGTTTACGAGTGGAACGAAGAAAACCAGGGCCCAGATCCTATCGTAAATGCTCGAATAAGCGCCGCGGCTCGATGCTTCAGTGTGGCGCTTATATTCGAGAGCGGCGTTTATAAAAAATATATATATATATATATTTTCCATGCCCGTTCCCACGTTACGGTACATCTCATGTATTCCCGTAGTTCTGTAGGCCTATCATCGGGCCTACTCACACCTTGGATCTTTTGATTTTTTGTAAGCTTTTCATTAAATATTTGGATTTTTGGACTGATATGGAAGTTTGAAATGCTTATCAATTCAATTCATTTGATCAATATTTGAAGACAATTTGAAATGAACAATGACCTAACTAAAAATAACACCAGGTGACAGTTTATTTATTCTTTATTTTATTTTATTCGGATATGTTGTTTGCTTTAAACAAGTACGGTACAGGGCTGAAAAAGTTGAGCCTAGATGCCAGAAAATCGCACCGTCTCATACTTTGCAAATGATTTTCATTGTGCTTAATTTGACAATTTATATGTGTTCAATCAAATTCATCAAAATGCTTTTACCAGCTTACATCTCCCGAAAATAGAAGTTAAAAGTCAATACATTTTTTCTATAAAAGTGTGGGTTTATATGCTACAGGAGAGTCTTCCGTGTAATACAATTAAAATAACAATTTCCCTACCATTTTTTATTTATATGATTTTAATTCATAAAGGCATTAGGGGTATCAATTTTCCCCTCAACCAGTGACGTAATACTAGAGCCTGGGACCCTGTGGTTTTCTGAGACTTGGGACCCTTTTGCGGTCTCTATCGCCAATTTCGTTGTGGGGTTAGGTGTGTTTTTAAATCATGTTTGCCGTTTTATATATTATATCGGACTATGTTTTAACCACGAAATGATATATCACTGGCAAATCTAGTAGGAATTTGAAATAGCGGAGCCAGAGAGGGATTTTAAGAGGTGGAGGGTCTGTACCACCTAATCCCCACCATGGTTGGGGCTGAGGTATATAGCACCTCTAGATGGCCTGAAATGGCACTCACAGAATTAAAATCTGAATATCATTCTCTTTTTATCGCTATTGTTTTCATTGACAAACCTAGGCCCCCTTAATCCGTCACTGGGTATAATATTATGATATACATGTCCTACAGTCGATGTCAGAGACACATTATTCTGTTATATATGAACTCTTTTGGGTCCCCAACTTTAGATTCTCATCAGTTAAAAGAACGAGTTTGATCTCCAACCTTCACAAACTTCTGTCACTGTTCCATATACTGTACAAAATTACAGTGCAGTTCAGGAGTGCAGTAGAGTACAGTAAAAAATTCACCGAAAGCTTTATAATTGGACTTTAAAATGAAATTTTATGTATTATACTAATATTTTGCGAACCTTGGGATATTTTTTAAGCTACTTTATCTTGGGATTTTTTTGAAACATCAAAGGGCCGGGCAAAGGGTACTCGTATCTCGTACAAAAACATTATAAGGAACATTTCCAAACCACTGTCAGTAAATGAAAAGAAACCACGCTTGTGTCACGCGCGACATCGATCAAGTGTAGTTTGCAAGACAAACCGCAACAAAAGCAAACAACTGCAGCGATCGTTTACATGAGCCCTAAGATCAAAATGCAGTTTCTACGATGATGCCATGGAAGCCAGTAAATTTTCAATGTTTACAAATGTCGGGCACCAGACAGCCCTACGACAGTGTTGTCTCAATCGGCCCAACTTTCGGCTCCCCCCTTTTGGACATTTCTGGATCCGCCCCTGATTATATCCACCCCCTAATACATGCAGAGAATGTGGTCTGGTTACCTAATAACTTCAGACTGCCATTGCCAACAGTGGTGAACCCCCATTTTCATTGATCCTGGAAAACCCAGCACCACTATTGCTAAGCTCACTAGTCATAGCCTAAATTAGAGCTCGTCATGCTACCCAAGAAGCCATAGGCCTATTATAAAAGACAGTTTGACAGATCTGTTTTGACAGAAAATACCAGTAAAATATGCCTATATAAACTGATTTAGCTTGCTTATACATATGCTTGACCTACTAAATGCCCTCCCGATACCTGCTTACCATATTTCCAGTCGGAGTTGTGGCGTAATTTTTTCTCCCTTACCGTCGACCGACCATTATCCTGTTGTACTTTTACTGTTTCAGGTATGACACATCCTGTTGAATTGTTGATCCGACACAATAAAACACTATAATAATACCATACAGCACTAATACCATTGTGTATGCATGGTTAGTTTAAAGAACTATTTATAAGAATGAGATCACCAGTAGCCAACCACGGCCTTTTAGTTCCTCTAATTCCACATATTTCTTATTAATCTATAGACTATTTGCATAATATTTTTATTTCAACACCAATACTTGACATGCATTTTTTTAAATTTTTTTTGTCAACTATAAAAGTAAAATTTTCCCGTGTGTTTAACTAGAAGTAAGGAATTGGCAGGTATGCAACAAAACGAATTTCAGTAGACAATAAAAATTTCTGAAATGAAATAAGTTTCATGATGACCCTGTTTCAGGAACTTAAGATCAACCAACAGCAAGAAAATTCAACAATTCAGCACTCTCGTTTGAAATCGTATGGTAACAAGCCCTGCAGGGTTGCAGTTTCCAGAGGGAGCCATGGGAGCCCCCCAACTCCCTTCGTACACATTGTTAATTTTATAAAGCTTGTTTTTGCTAGCCAATACAAATTCTTTCCTTGGATCATTAGCACACGTTTTATAGGCCTAATACTGACACATACGAGCTTGACATTTTTGGGCAAATTACAAATACAAGAACATGGTTTGTCATAACTCATTTTGCTCACCACACTATGCGATAATGATAGTCGAAGACGAAGAGTTACTATTATTCGATTTTTATTCGAAGTAAAACAGCCTTTGGAGTTTAAATACTGTAAAATTTCTAATTGACTCCTTCTAACTATATGTTTCTGACCCGTGCTCTGATAGAAACCCATCATTTCAATAAACCAACCCATGTCTATTAATAAAATTCACCCTTTACGCTGATAATCAATTTTTTTACTATAAAGAATAATGCAACAATTAACATTTTCGGGTTTATAACGGCTTACAGCTCAGGGAGTGGATTTATAAATCAGCTTTAATTCGTCCTAAAGTGGAATATTGTATGTTCAGTTTAGTTTTTATCTTTTTGCAAAATTTTATGAAATTTTGATTAATATACTATAGTAAATAATATAATAGTGTAAGGAATTATAATCCAATTCCGTTTTAATGAAACGTAAGTATATCTTCTCGTACTTCCTGAGCAAACAAATAGGCCGATCTTCCGATAATATAATAATGATAACGATGATGATGATGATGATGATGATGAGTCGTTTTAAAATTTGCATGGTGTTCAGTGAACCATATGTTGTTTTTGTGCTCTTGTAAAAGAAATAATGATTTCGGATACAATAATATTCGATTGCTAGAAAAATGCCGCATCATTTTTTTCCAATTTCGCAAAACAAAAAAAAAAGTTTGTAAGATATTAAATAATTCTGCTCCATCGTACCTAAATAGCCACTTTGCTAAAGTATGTGACCAGCACAGTCATGGTACACGTCAAAGTGATTTCAACTTTATCCCACCGAAAGCATCTAAAGCTATCGATGGCACATTTTATGCTACCGTCATCCATGAATGGTACAAACTTCCAAGCAAATTAAAGAGCTCCGCCAGCCTTTAATTATTTTTAAAAAAATGGTAAAAGACTACTTATCGAATAAGAGAGAGTCATAACGAAAGAAGTCATGTCATAAAACCTTGTCTATTGTACTTTATTACTATTTTTCAGGACCCCAACGGAAATAAACCTATGTAATTTGTTTTCTTGGGCTATCCTGGTCGATATCAACTTCTTGTTTTTCATCTGCTCCTTTTTAATTTTTTTCCCTAAAATTTAACTTTAATTATGGTACCGTGTTTTTCGTACAATTTCATTAATGGTACCACTGTACTCTGTACAACTTTTTAAACCGCTTTTTTGACCTTTTTAATATTTTTTATTTGTTCCGATAAATCTCAATACTTATGTTTTTATTAACTGTTAACATATTTTTTACCGTTCTTAAATCATTATCTCGTTTTGTGTATTTTAAAATTTTTAACCCTTTTATCTTTGAATTTTTAACCCCTTTTTTCGATTTTTAAAATATTTCTTAAAGAAATTTTATATATTTAAAAAAAATTTAATTACTGTTTTAAATGGTTTTATAAGTGGTTTTATATGTTTTTTCCTTGTGTATGTTGATATTGACCAAATAAATGAAAAAGATAATAAGATAGTACACCGGAAACCGTTTCAAGTTTGAGGGACTCTATTTCCGATAGTCTGATGTCATATTTTAAAAACCATAAACCTCAGTCTCATCATATTTGTGATGAGTTACTTGTTAGGAATTAACTTTATTATAGCCAATTATACCGTAAAATGTCTCCCAATACTTTACTAGTACTAATAGCAAACCAGTGAGGTTAATAATTAGAATGCCAGGACTTCATATAATGGCATATGCAAATGACAATCTCAAAAACCAAATCAACATTTTACAGGTTTTTAATTCTTCTTTTAAAGTAGAGTTTGCTACCTGTTTGTACTGTATATCGTACCTATTATTCGATTACATGGAACGAACTTTTTTGGTCGTATGATATTACAGTTTGTTCTCATCAATTTGCAGACCTTCTTAGCATAATAACTTATGAACGACATCAGGTAACGCTTACAGTGCTATACTAACGGTTTAAACAGGTCAGATGTAAGAAGAAACAAGCAAATATTAAGGTCATGTATGAGGTCAAGAATACTATGGTAAGTCATGTATATAGGAATTAGAATGAATTAGAATGAGAGAGTGATATTGTATTGAGTTGCTTGTTTGTTCAGTGACGGATTTTCCCAAGCAATGTAATGGGCTTCTTTTATTTTAAGTTGATAAGTATTGTGGGCGGAGTCAAGAATAGTAAAACAGTCTGAATTAGATGTGTTTTGACATTTAACAGAATTTTGAAGATGTCGAAATATGTATGATGACTTGTCCCGAACTAAATGCTCCTTAATCCGTATTTCTAAGTGTCTACTGGTCTCGCCAATATACACGGAGTTACACCCCGCGCAAGTAAATTTGTAGACAACACGGGCTCGGAGATTAGTTGGGACATAGTATTTTACATTAAAAAAATTGATAATTTATATGATTTAAAAGCAAGTCTGACATGCTTTCAAATCATATAAATTATCAAATTTAGGATTAGACGAAAATTTAATAGATTTCAGAGGTGGAAATCTTAAAAAATAATGCTGTACAAATTTGAAAAAAAAAAATAGATTATATTTCAATGGATACCATCTAGGATAGGCTTAACTAAAATATAAAGCATGGAAAGAGACCAGCCTATTTATGCCTATAGGCTTTAGTGTATATTCTTATCCATAGTAACCACATTGTTTGTTTATCTTTTTTTAACTGACTCAATTAACGTTTAAAACGGGAAAAAATCGGTTGAAGGAAGTCGATATTTAAAAATAAGAGGTGATGAAAGTAGACAGAACACCAGGAAAGTCGGAGCCAAAGCCTATGGCTTATTTCTGTGCCACCACCTATTTTGAACATTTATTGATATCAACGAGGACTTTCGCATCAGTGCCTTCTTACTTGCTGTCTATTTCACAATACTGTAATTTATATAAAAGAAGGTTGAACCATGGTTGAACTTAAACTTAATAGCTATTACAATCGACGGGTGCGTGGATCGATGTAACTGAACTGTAGACTGCAAACAATAGCACAAAAAAATGCATTAAGCTATGATATTCGGTACCGGTAATGCTTCAATAAAATCTTGTTGACTGGGGAGCTTGATTCAACCATATTCGGAGAGACCTCATTGAAATTATATATACCTATTTACAGTTACAGTATTTGCTTAGCTTCACTGTGTTATGTACCGAGTTTTCATATCCGCTTGACAGCCTCACTTTGTTGTTATGATCAGCTGTTGCATGGCCAAGATAAAGCAGTTATAATGGTAATTACCTGGTTTTCATAGACATACCGTGACCTATACTCAGAACTGTGTGGACTTCAAAGACATAAAGGCAGGTAAGCCCACAAGTTAATGTTTACGTTTGATGAGATGTAGTTTAATTATGCCGAATCTAGCATAATTTCATGCGATATCAAACGCGTGAAAGACGATTTGGCGGCTTTTAGCGTGTTGGATGCGTGTTTCAATTGTCTCATAATATTGATACCAGGACTTCTACTTTACGTAGAATTAAGTAGAACACCGGGTTTTGGAAAGCGAGCAACGTATTACATTATTATGTAGTAATTTTAGATGTTGCTTTACCGATAGCAATTTATTTCATAACTTTAAGCTGCATCACGGCATTGGATCCAAAACAAAATTCGGAGCGCGTTTCCGATGCGCTAAACGCCAGCATCCCTATATAATATATAATAATATTATTATTCTTACACACTGATTCGATTTCCTGATCGGTTCGAAGTGAAAGGAGCTTTAAGCTTTATAGCAAATTTAACTAATATAATAACAGATCAACACAGATACCTGTAAGGTTAACACACAACACTAAATCACAACAACAACTCAGTAATAATCATAATTGTTTAAAAACTGATCATCAGGACATCAAAAACTTTTCTTACCTCAGCTCCAATTATGGTGGGTCTGAGGTAAATCCTCCATTTGTGAAAATCCTTCCATGGGCCCACTCTATTTCGAAATCCTGGATCCGCCAGACTGTACTGGATCTTGGCCAACAAATATGTTACTTATCTAGGCCTATAGTAGGCAGATCGAACAGACTAAGCTTAGCTAGTAACAGGCTTCAATTAAGTAAAAATAAAACACTGTTAAAACCAAGGACTAAATTCAAAATACGTCCCTGGGTTTTATAGTCTGATCACACATCCCTACACAAATTTCCCTCCACCCAATTTTGGGTCATAATACCCTAACTCGACTGTTAATGTAGTGCAATTAAAAAAATATATTTTGAAATTGACAACAAATATTCAAACAGACCTATCTTAGCGAGCGAAAAACGTTTCACCCAGATGTTTACAATTGTTTTCAATCGGTGGAGAATATATTTGGCCCGTGAGGTCCGACTCTAAAAATAATTTTACTCTTCAAACAAATTAACTAAGAACCGGGTCCGGGCGGGGCTACACACATATAATAGGCCTACTCAGTGTAGAATGAGATAAAATCACATAGGTGGGTAGAAAGTAAGTCTCCGAAAACTAAGACCTCATACCACGAAAATTAAGCTCCACAAAACCGTGGGTGTGTAAAAAACTAAGACCAAAGACCATGAAAATTAAGACTCCGAAAAACTAAAACCATATCAAGACCCTCCCAGCTATATAATAATGCCAAAATACCAGATAGACCTGGTAATACCTTTATTAGTACTCGCATGATATATTTTATGTGATTCTAAATAAATAAACAAAAACGAGTAGTTAAAAACACATTAAAATGCTGTAAAACAGGCTAGCCCTCCACACGACTTTTCGGTGCTGCGAACCAGCGACACGAAGTAGTTTTTTTTTTTTTGTTTTTTTTTGACAAATTTTGACCCCCTGTATCAAATGCTGATCCGCCCCTAATAGATATAGTGATTTGTTAGAAACATGTCTACAACATGTTTGGAAATACCGGCACACAACAGGGAATTGTATCACCACGTCGTCACCGAGTTCAACTAACATTTTATCAATTTGGCTATTGATAGGCCTATCGGGATATAAACAAATTAAAAAGTATAATGAGTCTGTAAATGGTCGGGGTTTTATGGTGGACATGTATGCAAAAACATCCAAAAGATCTAAGCCCACGTAGAGGGGATCTGGCTTTAACTCCGTAGGGAGATTCAGGCCTACTTCTAAACACAATGCGTGTCAGTATTAGATTATATAGGTAATAAAAGCCATCAGATTGATATGCTATTTCATAATATGTTTTTGACAACACGTTAATGTTACTTCCTGTGTGACAGATCATTCATATTGAATCTGCAAGACGTTCCTCAGGTGATAGAGTGTTTTCTTCAATGGCGATAACCCCGAAAACTTGATCAGGATATCGCGGATAAACGATCCTATTGGAACAATCGATGGGCACTTTTACCATAATTTCAAAACTTCGGAGAGAATGCTAGTAATAAGTTCTTGCCTTTTTGAAATGGATGAATATTGTATAAAT